AGCAGCAACATTAATGTACTGTGCCAGAGCTATCTGAGTTAAAACGAAAGAAAGAGGAAAACCCTGGTATTCTACTCATAACTGCAGATGCAGTTTAAATGTTACAAATGTAACAGGAGCCGTCATAACAACTGCAGGCATGACATAGCAATTTCAGTAAATACAGCACAGTAAATGGCTTATTAAATCAAGCTGCCCTCAAAACAGGAGCTGTGGCGACAAATTCAAATGATACAATGACATAATTTAACTGCACCGCATCACACCGTTCCCATACTTCTCTTCCCAACCCTGAGATTTTAGAGCTTCTTAGAGGAGCTAAAAAAGCCTTCCTGAAGCACGAAACCTTCTGTGAGGCATAAGCAGAGTGCACAAAAGGGTAGTGAGTGCGTACACGCTGTGCTAGATGGTATACTTCTCTCAGTAAATAGAACTTAACCTCTTGAACTTAAACCCTTGGACTCTGCGGGATGCAGTAAGTTTGTTTGCAAATGTTCTTCTCTGAAGGAGTGAACAGACCACTTCGGCATTGTGCCCGGGCCAAAGAGCAATTAGAGTGGCGCTGGCGGCAGAAACACTGTTCAGGCTTACTGTCTATCCAGTCCTGTTCCCATTCCAAAGCACGGCCCCTGCCAATGTCCGAGGTCCACCCCAATCACACGACATTTTCTCCCATTCTAGGAAATTTACCCATCTTACTAAAAAGATCCAGTTGCATCCAAAAGGCAAATGCACTAAGCGGGAACAGCACCATGACACCACTGAATTCATCAGACTTTTTACAAAGTGACCAACCCCAGTGAAAGAGGAAATCAGGAGTTTATGAACTGGGTGCCCTGAAGGATGTATCTGGGTGTGCTGGTGGGAGGGACAGCCCATGCCCGCTACTGGGAATTCCCTCATTTCCATGGAATACAGCTGAGAATGGAAGCTCTCATTTCTGTTCTTCCAAACCAAGGTCAGAAGTTAGCAGGACAAAAAACGCAGTGCATCCTTCACATCCGAAATTGCAACACCAACAACTTGATCTCATTTGAAATCCTGTATTTTTCTTTAGGGCACACATGGAAAAGATCAAATTTAAGAAAAATGCCTAGAATACAATAATAAAAAGGCAGTAAGTAGGGCCAACAACACAGCACATGAATTGCACCTGACTACATGTCTGAAGATCAGAACGTGCAAAGGGTGATGCTGTTTTGAATGAAAGTTGCGTTTGCCCAATTAATACAAACCACGTGTGTGCGTGTGCACTGAGACTAACCCACAGGGCATCCAAAAATGGTCAAAGGTAAAAGAGAATGACTACAACTGTTTCGAGACAAAGCATTCACTTTATAGGTAGGTTGCAAAAAAAAAAAAAAAAATAAAAAATAGCAGGTTGAAATTGCCGGAAAGATTCCTTGCTGTAGCAGAACAGCTTAAAAACACACTCAAAGGCTACATCATTGGAAGTGTGGCATTCACAGTTTGAAACATCTAGCAGGAGACTGGAAATTAACTTTGGTATCGCTGAGCCACCACCTGCAGGCTTTGGAATAGATCTGCCAACCCCAAGACACTTCATTCGTGACCGATGCCGAGACAACACGCCGAAGAGGGACTGCTCCAGTCACACAGGCACGTGAGGGCGGGGAAATCCAGACCACAGAGCACTTCCTTGCTCTTGGAAAGAGCAGCCTAACGCCGTGTCCTCCGGGGGCCTACCGGCTGGCCCACAGCTTGGACCGCAGGCATATGGGGGTTTTTGGAAAAGATGAATCATTGGTGAGAGGCGGGATAACACATTATCTAACTGGAGGGAAGCAGCTTATTAAACAAGCATTTGGCTGAAGAACTTATGCACACAGAGGTGATTAATCTCAGAAGATCAACATTTTCAAGCTAAATCACAGGTTCTGCATTTTAAAGACAGGAAGGTGCAATTCTTGCCAATTTTTTTTTTTTTTTTTGGCTAGGTGCTGGACATTATGCTTCTATCACGACTAAGACATAGCTGCAAGTCTGATGCCACTCAGGAACCCAGTAATATAAAGTTACACATATGATCACCATTTTTACAGACCCTGAGCCTGGGTCACTGCACTCATCCACCTCTTCCTTTTGGGGAGCTGACAGACAGATTTCCCATTTGCAAGGGGACCCTGCACACACAGTTGTGACCTTTCAGCAAGAAGTCTTCCCCACGACTCCAGATTTCAAAGGCTGAATTTATCCTACTGGATGTAGAGCATAAGCTACATCTACTACAGCTTATGAGGTAAATCCTCCCCTTCCTTAAATTTAGAGATGCTTTTTTGAGCAGTCCGCATTTGAAAATCCCCATATAGCTTAATAGACCTGCTGAGATGAGACTGCCGTGACTTTGTACATTTGTTGAAAACATCAGTTAAAGTTAACAATCTCAAAAGAAATCCCTTCTACCCAGCAAATAAAGATTCTTATTTTAGAATGAAAACAAGGGAAGGGAGCATTCACACAGTAACCTTACTGCCTTGAGCACTGGCCTGCAGAATTATTTAAAAAAAAAAAAAATTCATTCCTTTTTAAAAAAGTCCTTCAGAAAAAGGATTGGATTGCTTCTGCAATTTAGCATTTGTT